AAAAAAAAAAAGAAAAAAAAAAAAAAAAGAAAGAAAGAAAATCAAAATATTGGAATTAAATCACAGTAGCCCATGATATCTTTGCATTTCACCAAACATGCATCATTCTCTTGAGAAAAATTCATTAAGATTATTTTTTAGTTATATCCATAATCACGTCTTCTCATGCACAATTATTTAAAAATTAAGGGTTGCTTGTTGTAGAAGAAGCAATTTTAAAGGCCTTGATTAGTAATATATACAGTATGAGTGGCCGTGTTGCATCAGATATACAACCACGAGGCGTAGCCGAGTGATTGTATATCTGATACAACACGGACACGAATACTGTATATGACTTATCAAACGTCTAGGTTAGTTCCTTTGTGTTTCACTAAAATTTTCAAAATTAAAGTGAATTTGGCCAAGAAAATCCAACTTAAAGTTTATGCAAATGAACACAGTTTTGTATCAGATTTACAAAACTCTTCACGGTCAGGATTTCTGTTGTGTTTTCCTCATGAAGTATTAATGAGTTTGATAACTTGTGTTACATGACCATCATTCCTTTTGGTATTGATATAACCTAGCTATTGCCTATCTTGCACTACATTCCTATACCTTGGGGCAGCCTACAATATAGGCCAAGCTATGGTTGAATGAGACATTCAAACAAGGTATACAAAGTATTAAACATCCAGTAGTCCTACAGAGCTGCTTTGTGGGTGCTGGAAATAAGCATTTTAGCCATATATATTAGCAGGTAAAATTTGGAGAACATACAATAGAAATTTACTCTCATGAGAATTGGGCTTTGTTTTGCTCTCGAAAATGAGCTGCAACTGGAATAAGAAGGAGAAGAATTATATAGCAAGCACCTGCTTCATTAGTTCCACTTTCAGCATAATACCCTTACTAGCTAATCAAAATTAAGCAGTAAAAAAATCAAGAATAAGCGATAAAATTCAACTTACAACTGCTTTAGGTCCCTCATTTTCTGCAAATTCAGTAATAAGAATAAAATCGTCCTCAAAAGACGACTTCTTCCACGGGTTTGGATTGTTTTGATGGTGTAACCGCAAGTTCCTTGGTAAGCTTAGAGTGCTTTTGGCTCGGCTTCCGGGATCTTCTTGTTCTTTCCATCTCATTTGGTAGAACGCGCTATGCATCATAAAGGCTAAAGGATTGGCTATAACTTCATTTTAATGTATTATGGAACAAAACAAGCTTGCCTTAGTCAAATAAAGAAAGATTTAACAATAGAAAGTGGAACTAACTCTCGTGCCATCGCGTGATGGAGAAAGTTGAATACCTCCAGAACCTCCCGTTCCAGGCGTTCTTCAGGCTTGCTTCGAAAAACTAGGGAGGGGAGGATAAAATGCTCATAAAATTAAAAACTAAATTAGAGACTATTTTATTGAGTAATTATAAAATAATTCACCCCTAATGTTGATGATTTGCTTTTTTTATTAATTCATTTATCTATTTCTATTAAAAAATATTTTTGAAAGATTTACTTTGTCAGATATTATTTCCTGGCTCACCCCTCCCCTAATAATTTTACTGGAGTTAGTCTTCCTCGTCTTTCAGAGGAACGCCTGCTTTTAATTGCTTTTGCGGATCAAGTTCTTCGAAGCTAGAAAGATATCTTGTGCTAAAATGGCGGATTCCGAGACAGAAGACTTTCTAGTTGCAACGCAAGACTGTTTTTCTATTGAACAGGACAAAAATGCAGATACAGAAGGTACGATTTCACGACCAGAAAACGATAAGTTTGGAGTTTGATCGAGAAAACAAATTATAGAATTTTTCGATAAATATTTAAAATCTCGATCACCTATAACTGACCTTGTGCATATAGCTAATAAGTAATTGTATTTTTAGTTCTAGATGACGATCTTGAGGAAGAATTGTATGCTGATTTGACAATGGATATTAAGCAGGAGATGGATTACAATGAGGTGAATTTTCATGCATATATTTTTCTTTCTAATTCTTTCTTTCCTTCCACCATTTTTCTTTCCTTAGTTCATTTCTTTTTTCATTGTTTTCTTTCTRTTCATTACATAATTTTTTTATCCCTCCTTTCTTTCTTCAAATATATCTAATTCATCGTGGTTGACAGAGCTGACAGAGAATTTTTACTTTTCAAGGAGCATTCAAGAACTTTTCAATGATTTTTATTTTTTCAATAAATAAATAATAATAAATAATAATTTTCATAATAAATTCAATGGCTTTACAAGGACTTCAGGGACCTGTATGAACCCTGACAAAATGTAGTGCATTACCTATCTAGTGATTATATTTATTTTTTCGTGACAATTATTTCACATCATTCTTTTTCTGAATAATTTTTGTTTATTAGTTAAAGAAATTGTTTGATGAAAGTAGAATGAAAGTTCAAGAGTTGTCAAAAGAGGTGAGTTGTACAAGACAGCAAAACAATACACTTAACATATAAATAAAACAGGCATTTCTTGGTTCAATAAACAGGATGCATTGTGGTATAGCTTCGGTGCAAACAACACCTTATGCATCATTAACAAAAGATGTATGTGCACCCATCATCTGTTTGCATTTGGCACCCCAATCCTCCATGCTTGAAGATGCTTAAGKTCTCTAATACACCCCATTACTTTCTCATTTTTGACCTTCATCTCATAAGCCAAGCCCGTAGGTGTCCGGTGCAACTTGACAATAACACAGGGTAGCTGTCACTTATACAAAGGTCACTCGATCCCGCCACTCATGACCCTATTACCGTCGCTGAATACACTCGGGTAATAGTAGATCCATAGTCTTTGATTGTAGTGTTTTAATTCAATTTTTCCAATTAGAATCAAGCATTAAAGGAGCAGAATATTATTTTAAAGAAGAACATTTCCTCTCTTTACCTGACTGCTAAAGAAGAAATCCAGAGAAAAGATGCTCAACTGAAAGCCTTGCAAGAAAAAGAAGACAGGAGAAAACAGTACTATGCACAGAAGATGGAGAAAACTAGCACCAACAACTGACATGGCAAAATATTAGGCATTTGATTACCTGACTGCTAAAGAAGAAATCCCAAGAAAAGATGCTCAACTGAAAGTCTTGCAAGAAAAAGAAGACAGGAGAAAACCGTACTATGTACAGAAGATGGAGAAAACTAGCACCAACAACTGAACTAGCACCAACAACTGACATAGCAAAATATTAGGCATCACCTCTCCTTGTTGAAGGGAATCAAGGGCAGTCCACTGGCCTCTAATTACCTCTGAGGTCTTGGGTTTGATTTGTGGACTCAGTATTACATTTAAGTAGCACTTGTAGGGAAAAGTCTTTCTCTTGATTCAAGGGTTTTTTGTCTGGATTCTCAAATTTTCCTCCCTATACTATGTAAGACCTAACAATTACTTAATTCCAATTCAATCTGAGTGAGCCATGCCCTGACTTAGATCATCCCAGA